TTCTGTTTCTCTATGTTCACATGGCTCTATTCTGTTCCTCTTTCTTTCATGGACCTAATTACCAGCATAGAGGTGTCACAGTCTATGATATCCCAGGCAGTCCCACACCAGGGTCAAGGGGACCAGGACCCAGTCCACCATGCAGAGTATCAAGTCCCACAGCACTCACTGTGCAGTTGATCATGACTAAGCAGAGGCAGGAGCACAAGCCTGAGAACACAGAGCAGGAACCAAGGCAGAAGCAGACCTAGGAAGAGCAAAGCAGTAAGCAGAACATAGGCAAAAGGCCTTTGTAACTGAGGTATGTTCTGGGAGGGAGAACCACTCCTTAAATATGCCTTCCCTCCAAGCCTCCAGGTGAGCCTCATGAGTGGCCCAGCAGCTGCTACATAGACCAGGACCTGATCCTGAAAACACCAGGCCACTCCTGGCTCAGGTTGGCCCTGATCCTCCAGCTCCCAGGGTGGTGCAGGTCAGATCCTGACAAGAGGAACAAGTGAACATGGCTTGTTGAACAATCCATGTTTATTTTTCCTTTGAATCTTACAGGGAAAGTGAAGGAACTTCAGGTTTCTTTGGAGAGATCCTGTGACAATGGAGCAGTTTGGTAATTTTAGTCTCTCATTAACATGTGGGGAGGAGATATTTCAAATCTACAGCATATGTTACTTCATATATTTCAACATGTGGTAAGACAATCCTGCTGCTGCACTTGGTGGGGTTTATGTGTGGTTCCTTCTCATTCTGCTAAGCAGTGACCTAGATTTCTGCCCCAGAATTTGGTCATGGTGGCATTGGAGCTATGTGGCATAGTACAGAAGAGTTGAATTGAAAATATTGTTATTAAATTGGGTGGCTTTATGTGCAGGAATTACTGAATGAAGCTTTTCCCAAGAGGGAGCTAAACCATTATTTCCATTTAATGTTGACAAACCAAGTTGCTGTTAAGGACACAAAGAGTGTGAGAACTAGCTGGAAAGTCAGCACTGATAGTGATTTCTTCCCACATTTCTTTTGGCGGGGGGGGGGTCCTGTTCATCTGGATAGTTCCAATTCCACTATTTAGAGAAGAGATTATATGAAAGGACATTCCACATCCATTGTCTATTTTAGTTATTGCACCAGTGCTTGGCATTTTGAACAAAAGAAGTGTTTTTAAAACAAAATGAGGTTTTGCACTTGTGGAGTTTTTTTGTGCAGAGAACTTGAGAATGGAAAAATGGCATGTGGAAATCCACAGGTCAATCCTATGCATGCTGACCAACCAGGAATAATCTCATGGACTATTAAAGCAGGTGGGTGTGTATTGGGTTGTAGCTTTGCAATATATTCCTATGCAGGTTTTATCAGACTTAAGTACCATTATTTTCAATGATGGCTATTCCTAAAAAAGAATATCTCCATCTAGAAAAAAAAATTAAAAGAAAATATAATCAATTTTAGTGTAGCTTTAAAAATATTAGCTTAACAATATTCAGATCTCATGTTAGAAATGTCTAGTAAATCTCTATAAAGATGGGCTCTTGGAAAATATTTTAATGGGAATTATAGCAGATTTTTTTTCTTTTTAAACGTGTTAAGATGTCTGACTACTTTCCATTCAACACCTGAAAATGCTTATTTCAGATTTATAAGGATTAATGGTAAATCTGGAAATGATGACAAGCTGTGAAAGAGGCACTTTCCCAAACCAGCACTCTTATTTATACCTCAGTACTGTATTTGCCTGTTTCTCTTGACACAGGTTAATTAGGTAGTTGGGGAAAACTCTTGAAGGATTCAAGAACCAGGTGAGATGTGTTAGATCCTTAACCAGATGCCTTCTTAATTATCTTCTGAAGTTAGTTGAGGGAAAAAGGAGCCATTAAAAGTGAGAGAGAGGGCATCTGGTGGAGTCCAGAGCTGAGATTGATCTTTATGTTGTTAGAAAGGACTCTGAGAGGGAAGGCTGGAACTTAAAGAAGCTACTATTTTATTTCTTTCTGTGTGGGAGGGGAAGCAGATTTTCATTGTTGACCCCCTGATAAGTTTATGTTGGAAGACCTATGCAGGTCTTTTTGTCTATGCAGACAAAAAGGCAGTGTGGAGGCCCATTGGCTACTATAGCTGTTTCTGATGTACTTGTTATGCCAGCTACTATGGAGGACTGGTTAATTGGTCCGTAATTTCAAGAGTCTTTCATACTTCCCTACATGCATAGGACCTGAGACAATTTGTATGAATCTTCTTCAAGGACAGGAGGGGGAATGAATATATGGAATTCCAGGAAATAGTATGTGAGAGAGTCTGTTAGGATGAACTGTAGAGATTCTGCATGGGCAAAGAAAGAGGAGACATAGACTCTAATCTCTTTCTGTTTGTGTGCTTTTTCTTACTGAGACAGAAACTTTTAAAGCTTCCAGATGTTTGGTGTTTCAACTCCCTGAATCCTCACAATTATTCATACTGGTTGGGATTTCTGGGAGCTGATGACTAAAACATCTAGAGGGCCAAAGATGGAAAACCACTGGATTACAATATTCTCCTGTGGATCACAACTACTGTTGTGGATTATCCTAAACCTTGTCCAACTTAATGACCTTGGAGCAGTGGTTCTTAACCTTTGTTACTCAGATGCTTTTGAACTGCAACTCCCAGAAACCCCAGTCAGCACAGCTGGTGGTGAAGGCTTCTGGGAGTTGCAGTCCAAAACTCCTGAGTAACCCAAGGTTAAGAACCAGTGCCTTGGAGGATCTACCATGACCTTAAGAACTGCAACCATGTTGATTGTCTTTATCTCTCAATTTGTGGGTTCTTTTTCTTCCATTTAAGTGTTGGCTTCTCCCTTTAAATACTTTTTCTTTTTGCTTTTTCATTTACCTTATTGGAACATATCTAATGCTTTGTTTTGGTTTATCAGTGAATATGTAGGTCTGATCATTTGAAATACTGTATTAAGTATATGTTTCTCTAAAAGTTTTTATATTAATGAATTTAAGCTAAAACTGAATCTAACTCAATTTGGATAGAGATGAGAGGCCTTCTTCTATCATATGTGAGTTTGACTATTCTGAATGATAAACCATTCTGTAAGAAATAGTGAGATGCTAATGGTATTAGATAATAAATTCTGCATTGTAACACTCATAAATATGTTAGGTGGAAATTGTTGCACACTAACAATACATGAGCCTCATAAATAGGCTGGTTAAGACATAGAAACCTATGCTGTCAGAAACACAATTGTAGTATGGTAATAAAAAGCTATGGAAACAATGATAAATTTGTATATAGTGTCATTTTATTCTCTTTCTTAATGGCAACTCATTTTCATGAAGGATTCCTAAAGATCAAATGAAATTCTATAAAAATTATTTTAAAGATTCTTAGAGGCATCTAATATTAACCGAGATAGATTGATATCCTGTATCTACTAATAGGGTACTAGTAAGTAAAAGGCTCTCCAATTTAATGTGTGATTTTTAAAGGCTGCTTTTATAGACTTTATTTCTGCTTTGACATTTTAAATAATAAAAAGACTCCATAAAGATATGTATGTGGGCAGTCATAGTGCCTTTCCCCATAGCTATGGTCCTTGCCTGATCTTAAACATCTCAGCTGGCTGTGAGATGAGGTTTTTTAAAACATTTATATTGCTTCCTTTCTAAAAGCCCAAGGTGTTACTCATGCTGCTGTTTTCCAATCTGGGAAAATTAATGCACTATATGGCAGAGGGTCATTTGCTCTGGGAGGTAAAAGCAGAAGCTCCTAATGGTGAATTGGGGAACCAGGCAAAAAGCCTTGTCATTTTCATCAATGGGCAACCAACGCCAAATCCAAAGCAAAGGAACTGGCTGCTCCCCGGACAAGATGGCTGGTGGATGGGAGGATAGGGAAAAAGAATAGAATTTGAAAAGGTTACTGTTTGGATTACAACTCCTATGTAACTCCTCAGTCTCAGGTTCTCAAAGCTCTGGGGGAAACAAACAGTAAAGACCTGTCTTGGCTTATGTCCCTATTTATAGGCCAGAGAAGAGCAGATTATATTCAGATCTATCTTAGTTGCCAGTGTTTGGCCAAATAGTGTTATGCCAATGCCCCTAATTATGATGTCTTCAGGAGAACTACAGAAAACACAATAAATGTGGCAAATGAATGAGCTTCAGAGGTGAAGGTTGAGAAAACAAGATTAATAAATGATATGCATATCTTTAGTAGCTATGGAGATTATTTGGTTTGCAAATGAATGAGCTTCACAGGTGAAGGTTGAGAAAACAACAAGATTAATAAATGATATGCAGATCTTTAGTAGCTATGGAGATTATTTGGTTCACAAACCAAAAGAGGTATCTGGAAAGATGCTATTCTGGTACTGTTGAATAGTTGCAGCTGTAGTTTAAGCTAAGAGAATCTTGTGATGTTTCCTGCTTTCATATCTCCTCAGGTGGCTATTATCTTGATATAGCTTGCTTTAGGACAAATTAGGAATTGAAATTGTATTAGGAGAGGGTCTAAAATAGCATTTTCTATTTTTACAAGCCATAGTGTGTTTGATGGTAACACACACACAAAGAGTATGTGTTCTGCACTCTTGTACAGCATGCTTCAGTTTCTTTATTTAAAATGTTTGTGTATCACCCAACTAGCAATGGCTCTGGGGCAGTTTACCTACACAAAAATGAAAACAATATATTTACAGGTTTTGTAATAAAAAGAAAAGAAATGACATGTAGCTTATTGAAATTAAATTTCACACAGCAGGATTATAAAATACAGTGAATTCTGAGATACTTTCTGATTCAGAAATTCTAGTTTGCTGAGCGTGAGCAGTGTGGTTAGAGTTAGGAGATCCGTTTCCTGAGCCTCTTGAAGATGTCGGTGTGCTACCTCTGCTCAAATGGGACCAGCCTACAGAGAAATGGAATACATTGCTTCTGCTCCTCAGCATCAACATTCATTGAAATTTGGCATGGACCATTCTGTCTTAATAACTTATGCCGTCTTGAAGAAAAAGTACACCGATGGCAAGAAGCAATAGACATGTTCGGACATTTTTGTCCCAGATATTTTCAGACAAAAACTATGAACAGAAAGTAGTTGAAACTTGGGATACCTTAGAGGTATTGATGACAACTCTACAAGAATATGTACCTTCTAAGTTTAGCTCAATATGAATTCTCCCAAAAAAGTAAATCTGGAAGACTAAAATGTCTTGTCTCGGTGTATGAGGGATAAAATTGTGGATTTCACTGTTTCCTGGTAAAAGCAAAAATGTACTTATGTTCTGTTCTGACAAAACATTCCAAAGGTGTTGACACACCACATATATCAGGGTTTGAAATCAACCACAGTATAAGAAATCCCCTTCCTGGATTAACCCCTTAACATTGTGAAGGGGTTTCAGTGTGTCAGTGAGGCTGAGAGCAATGTCACCAGGAGGTCAAACTCCATTACAAGTCTGGACTCCTAGCAGGGTCACCCAAGGCAGAATAGTCACAGCTGAGACATCAAAGATGCATCTACCCTCTTCAAGGATAAGGGTAACATCATCAGAAAATGGGTAGTCCCAAGGCAGAACAGTCACAGCTGAGACATCAGACAAAGATGCATCTAACCCTCTTCAAGAATAAGGGTAACATCATCAGAAAATGGGTAGTAAACCACTGCTGAACTTTCCTTACCGTGAAAACCCTTTGATGAGAAAATCCAAAGCAAAACAAGGGATAGTACCAGAAGATCTCAGGTCAGAAAGCACAGTTAATCTTATATTTAATGCAACATATTAAAAAATCACTAATAAATGAATGCATCTAACCCTCTTCAAGAATAAGGGTAACATCATCAGAAAATGGGTAGTAAACCACTGCTGAACTTTCCTTACCGTGAAAACCCTTTGATGAGAAAATCCAAAGCAAAACAAGGGATAGTACCAGAAGATCTCAGGTCAGAAAGCACAGTTAATCTTATATTTAATGCAACATATTAAAAAATCACTAATAAATGACAATAGTTAGTCTATTATATTTAATACAACATATTAAAAAATCACTAATAAATGACAATAATATTAATGAGTTAAATAACAAATAATACTTTGTGTTACTTTGATTCATTTTTGAGGAGTTTAAAATTATTTACTTCTGGTGTTACAAACACTTTAAAAATGATTATTTCACTTAAAGAATTCATATTAATTGATTTCTAAACTATCTGCAAAAAAACAAGCTTCAACACAAATGTTTTTGAGCTGTGAACTGGCCTAATTTACAGTACATCTTGATTTTGGCAAGTGTGTGTGTGTGGACTTGCTGTCCAACTCTGACAGCAAAACATCTTGGCCCATCCCTGTTTATCATAAATAATTTTTTTATGTTGACTGTGTGATATTCTTTCAAATATTTTTCTTTGTTTTGTCTTATATACTTAATTGATTCACAGTTAACTGTCCTGAAGATCCATGGGTGATATAAAAACATCATAAATAAATAAACCAACTGAGGCTATCCCTCATTTTTGAGAAGAAAGTTTCAGAGAGTGTTAGCCTGTGTCTAGAGGAAATGTCCAATGTGCGTACCAATAGTACTTACAGAAATGTCAACTTCACACTATTTCCCATCCTACTGCATGCAATTTGGTTCTTTTTCCTTTGGGTCCATAAAGGTACCCCTTGTCTTTTATAAAAGCTGGACAGCTGGTGTGCTGTGACCACTGCTTGTTATGCTAATCAGTGTCAGAAAGTTTCTCTATACTTTCCTGTCCGCCTTTTCCTATCTTGTTGTCTTTCTATGTGTTCAAAGGCCCCAATTCTGCAAACATCTACTTTCAAGAATGGAATTGTGTCAAATGGAAGTGCAGGCTTGGTTGCTGAAAGAGATTTTAGCAATTCTCTGTGCGGCGCTGGAAGACTCTGGCAGTTAAATAGTTTGGAAAGCACAATTCTGACATTAGGATTAGTTGTGAGTTGCACATAGTGGCAGAGAAAGAGAGATGTAAATATTTTAAATAAAAATAGCTTTGCCCTAAGACAGAAAATAACAGGGCAATGAAGGACAAGGGGAATAAGAGAAGTATTCCAGAGAAACTTGTTATTGCCTCACTTATCCTTTGCCTCTAGTTTTACACAGACTCAAACAGAAGAGGGGTGGCGGGGGTAAAGGCTAGGAAAAGCAACAGTGCAGTATCTTTTGCCTTGATCCTCTCAGATATAAGAGGAAGCTGCCTTCTGTTGAGTCAGAGCTGAGAGGTCCACCTAGCCTAGGACAGTCAACTCTGACAATCAACTCTGATCAAGGGAGTCTATTCCAAGCTTTTTGGCTGGATTCTTTTTCAGCCCTACCTGGAGATTCCAGATAACCCTTGGTGGTTTTATGTCCAGATACTGAGCGACTCAGCATCCAAAGTCAGGCAAAATTAATTGTGATAAAAGCTTCAGCAGTCACAGCGATCCTAGCTGGGGGATTCTGAAAACTGTAATCCAAAAAGAGAGAGTAAAATTTCATTTCATGTCCCATATGCTGCTTCCTTTTGCCTTTAAAGTGGAAGAGGACATGGACTTCTCCCACCAAAAGATATTGCCGCTGTTGTTACTTTTAGGGTGACCATGTGTCTCAAAGAGCCACCTCTTTGTGGAAAAATATATACTGTATCCTCTTTTGCAGTGCAGTTTGACCATGTCTGTTTAAAAGCTAAACAACCCTACCCAAAAGACTGCAGGGGGCTGGAGATTGCCTAGCAAATAAATATGCACCTGGGCACCAGGCTGAAAAAGTGCACGGATCACCTGTGCTCCTTTGTTTGGAGAAATGGGTTGTTGCACTCAATCCACAGCTGTGTAAGCTGAAACCATAAAGCAGCAACCAGATTCCTGACTTCCATCTAAGAGACATGCCTGGTGAAATCCATCTTGCCAAGAACTGCTGGACATCTGAGAGCAATTTTCCTAGCAAAATCCATCTTGCCATGCATGTTTTTGACTTTGAGTTTTGGATTTTTAAGTTCTTCACACTGGCACAAACCTGATGAAGTGGTGCTTTATTCCATGAACATTTGTGGATTGTATGATGATTTTTTTTTAGTGGTCTACAAAAGCATCACCTATTTTTGCATTTGGATTTAATTTTGTTTAGACCACATGGCTGCCCTGTACTTCAATGGATCACTTTCAGTGCTTACAGTCTTCCCCGCTATGGTCAGATATGTTGTACTTGGAAGTGTTATTTATTTCTGAAATTGAATACATATTCATACATTAAGAATAATCATCATGTGCCATCAAGTCAGTTCTGAGTTATGGTGACCAGGTTTTTCCAAGTACAGTACTCAGTTGTTTGACATTCCCTTCTTCTTTTTCCAAGTAGAGTACTCAGTTGTTTGACATTCCCTTCTTCGGGGGTATCCTGGGACTGTACAGTTTGCCCAAGGCCACACAAGCTGGCTCTATTCACAGGAGGCACAGTGGAGAATTGAACTCCCAACTTCTAGCTCCTCAGCCAGGTACCTAAACTACTGTATACGCTAGTTACTAGTATATGCAAATCTGCTGCTGGAGTCTGTCACCCACATACAGTATTTGCAGATCTTGCCCAAATGTTAGGATTGTTTTGTTTTGTTTTGTTTTTGCAGAAAGACAGCTGAGTTTCAGAATTTTTTATATTTTTTATTTTTATTTATTTTTTGCAGAAAGACAGCTGAGTTTCAGAATAGAAAAGGTTACACTTTTAATTAATAATAGAGCAGGGTTATTTTTGCAACACACTAAGAATGTAAAGAAATATAATAGGTAAGAATGTAAAAAATTAATGGAGATATAATAAAAATTGAGATAGTTTGTTTGGTCACTACAGATGTTTAGACAGTGCACATAATGTAGCCAGTCATACCCTTCCATACTCAAGACTGGATTTTTTGTATCTGCTAGAGATTAGTTATAGTCAGTATCCTACTGCAATTGATACAGAAATATATCCCTAGGAATATATATTCAGAAATATAATTCTCAGCCACCAGGACATAATTGTGACATTTTAGTTGGTGAAATAAGCAATTAAACACTCGCTAAGGTTTAATGGCAGAGAGGAAACAATATTTGTTTTCTACAGATGGTAGGTACATTTGTGACAATGCACATGGGTCTCAAAAGCCATTTTAAACTGACATTTTGCCATGGGGTTTTCTAGATGGTATGCTTCTAATGGGTGAAGCTATCCAATGTGCAGCTGGTTGGATAGTTCAGGGGTTTAGTTATCTGGCTGTAGAACCAGAGGTCAGGACTTTGATTTCCCACTATACCTCCTGTGATTAGAGCCAGCCTGTGTGGCCTTGGGCAAGCTGTACAGTCCTAGGATGGCTCCAGAAGAGAAGGGTAAAACACTTCTGAGTATTCTCTGCACAGAAAACCCTGAAAGCAATAAGTCAGAATTGTTTTGATAATAACACCATTATTATCACATAATATGCAGAGGCAGTTATTGGAAAAACCAGAGCTATGGTTTTTCCAAAAACTGCTACCTCAGTTATTGAGTGGCATAGAGTTCAGTTCGAATGCTGGAGGGAAAAATCACCTAAATGTTCTCTCGTACAGCCCCACAAAAATGATAGGGGATATGTTAAGAAAGTGGCTGTGTGGTCCACTGTAAAACTGAAATGCCGGGTGGGGTGGGACCTTTATTGGCCACCGAAAAATTTAAAAGTGAGGGAAAGGGAAGGTTTTGAGCCCTTCAGCATTCTTTATGAAGCTGAGCATTATAAAACCTGGGAACAGTGGAAGCAGAAAACCTCAGAATTCATTCTGTCCAGCTGTTCTAGCCATGGAAACTGCAGTTAGTTAAGTTCCTATATGGAGACTTCTAGCCTGGAGGGCCAGCTTGAAGTGTTGTGTGGTATCGGGTTGCACCTCAAAGGATTTAGAATCCGCTGCCTCTCTCCATCTCTAAAGACAAAGGGCTTACAAGCATATGGCAAACTGCCTGTCTTTTGGTCAAAGCACATGACACTTTTATTTGTGAGGAACAGAAGCACAAAGTAACTTGGCAAACCTCATATCATCCAAACTGGAAGTTTATTTGGCACACTAGGCAAAGAGAATCACCAGCTGCTAAATTATGATATTACTTACTTGGCA